GCGGAACTCTAGGGCAATTGCGGGAGTGTTAGGGAACTTCTTGTTCCGGAGGTGTCATATTGGAAGTTGGTTGTCGCAAATACAGCACTATCTTCCGCACAGTTTCACAGTAAACTACATTTGCACCGAAGCGCCAAGTTTCATTACATATTTTCGTTGACGAGGATCTGACAGGAAACACGAATTTGTCCAGCAATAGTTTTGCCGTTCAACGGCTTAAGGGTTTAATTTGCTCGAACAAGTTTATTAAACTACTGTACGTAGGTACTACGCTAATGTTCGACAGTATCGAAATAAGAGCGAGAGAGAGAGAGGAAGAGTGAGCAAATACTTTTCATTCCAATCTCATTAACATTCATTATCAAGTTATTTCGTCAGGATAATTAGTTTATGCATGTGTAGCATTAATTTCTATGTATTTAGATAATTATCATAAATCCCACAATCCGGTGGAAAGCATCCAGGAATCATGACGTGAAAACTAATTATGTTTGAGAGTCTAATTTCGAATGTGAGGTGTATGGAGAGAATGTGGTTGAAAATAAAGAAATCGAGATCGTGTACGACGCGCACACGTTTTATGATTCCAATTTAGTCCTAATTGCTCCACAATTAATACAGAATTATTAAGAAAGTTTTAATTGATGGTATACATCAAAACATTTCCCTAAATTCATGATGGATCTACGCGCAGTAATAGTTATGTAAATATAGACAATCAAAGAACAAAAGTTTTCTGAATATTTTCGATTTGTATCTTAGTTTGGCTATATCCAGTCAGTCAAATAATTTTAGGTAGTCTGAAGTCGTAACTTTGGTAGTAGATGACCTCCGAATTTCATATCATTTATTGTTACACAAACTTTTAAACTTCAACAAACTTCATTGTGTAACTTTCGAAGAAATCAAAGTTTGACGAAATAATATTGACCAGTTTATAATAACTTATTGGAATTATCAAATTATATGTTTGAAAAATTGCCTTGACACGTAAACCCATGAATTAAAAGGGCATTTTAGAGACTATGTGTAATTGCATTGCACTAAATAAGAAAATTGAACAAACGGTCGGCAATTTCGGTGTTTTTATCGTTACAACTGAAGAAGTTGTCGTCAACACTTCAATGGTAAGTTTGATGAGCTAGTAGTTCCCAAGTAATCCATTAAGACGTCCATTATATTACATGAAAAAGACGATCTAGGAAAGTAGCTTCCGTTCTAATAGATTTTATAACTTCCTTTTTTACAACCTTTTCACAAGCCACACTCCAACTTTTATGACTGACTTTATTTCTAAGAAACGCGGTCAATATCGTCAAGTAATTTTTAGTCAGTAACAACCATTAATATCCTCCATGATCGAAAAAGAATTTTAATAAAAGTCAGTGTTGGTGTATCTTTAAAAAAACGACTAAAACTTCGAGCAAATACAAAAGTACCTACTTTATTTAATGGTACTTAGGACAATTGAATACTTTACATCCTTAAAAGCTCACATTGACTAGTTTCTACGTATAATGGAATGTAATAGTATGTAATGGAATTGACTATTTCTAAAACAGCAAGTTTTTAAATTTTCAAGCAAAAGACGAACGTTTTGTACTTATTTACATGTACATGAGAATGTATTTATTTACCCATATTCTGGTAATGGAATTTCCTTTATTTCCTATACTATAGAAAATATGCGCAAGCAGATTCCATCTTCTGAAGAGTTTTAAGACAATAAGTAGCTCGTTCGTGCATTTTCGCAGTTATAGACTGAAAACTAAAAGCTTATTATATTAGCGTGTTGTCCTCCAGGACGAATCACTATTTTAAGGGGCAAAGAGTAGAGGGATTTCATTAAAGAGTAAACCTGTGTAAATTAGGATGTATTTATTAAAAAGGAAAAAAGTAAATTTGCAGATATTTCGGAGAGTAGTTTAAAAAGTATTTGATTATTTACTAATAATTAGCATTATCCTTATGAGAAATTAAATGAATTTCGAAACGTCCCTGAACAAATACAATTTTCCAAATGTTCTGATAGAAAGAATTAAAAAGATATTCTTGCTAAAGTGCACGAAAACGATTAGGGGCTACATCATATTAATGTGAAAATACATTTAAAGCATTCGCGCCTGTTTATATAAAAAATAAACATTTCTTTAAGAAAATAGCGACGTCTTTCAAACGATGAATTTTATTTTAAATCAAGATATAGACAAAAGCAGCAGAGTTGAGTTGCTCGACGAATAATAATTTAAAGCAAAGTGAACGCTCAACTTTCGGTTTGGATAGAAGGTTGTGATTTCCTTTTGGATGCGACACAAACCTCACGAAAACATTTATAAAGGGGCACTTCGTCGTCTATATAACATCTTTCAAAGAAAACCAAACGGAAATTTTAATTTAGCTGCTTCGTGTAGATGAAAGTACGCGGTTGCAGGTGAACAAGATTTAATAATTCTTGTTGGGCGACGCGACGCGACGCGTTATTGTTCGAGCAATGGCGTCACATTTATGTAAAGGTAGTTTCGAATCCCGTGGACCACGACCTAAAGTCATCCAACTGTTCATCGTTTATTGAGTGTATAATATGAATGCAATTCGCATTTCGCGACCTAGGATATTTAAAAATACATCTACAGTCCTGTGCTAGACTCTAAACATTTTCGATGTTTGAACTGGGAATAATAATTTAACCTTCCAGGTCCTTGATTAAATTGATAAAAGCAGAAACATTTGTTAATAAGAAATTAGAAATTGATCGTACTGAAACAGATGCACTTCGTTAATTAACCCACTAACTAATAGAACAAGGTGGGTGTAAATTATTACATAGTTTGGTTTCTAATTAACCTTTGTGTTTATCTAAATTAAATTGAAACAATCATTTAGTGTTTGTTGACAATTGCCTGCCCTTTTATGTAAAGTGAAAAATTATCATGACTGCACATCAAACTTCTTCAGCGTGTTTACTTTAGTAACCATCTGTTATGCTACTTCAGTTGGTGGTGGTGGTGGTGATATTTTCGATGCGTTTTCACCGTATCTGTTTAATATTTTAAAGGAATTTAAATCTAAATTTAGAGGATGATTCCATGGTTTAGTAAATGCTTCAACACTTTTATATTTTCTAAACTAATGCGATTATTCATTATAAGGTGAACGACCAGATTGGAAAAATACATACTATTTTGAGCCTGATTTTGAAGTTTGTTTTATACGATAAATATAGGGGTCAGTTCAAAAGTAATACACTCTATTTTCTATTTTTTAGTAGCAGGAATTGCAGGTAAGATGCAATTACCGTTGGGTAGCGTGACGGATTCTAAATTTTTGAATTTTTGATTCTCCATACAACTAATATTGCTATTAGTCTTTCTGTGCTTGCAATGCTTTTCTTTAACGGTATCCTGCACAAAGTTTTTGACCTACTGTTTGTATGTGATAAATACAATTTTATCCCTGGACCAAGGATTTAGATATCATTCCTGAATCCTTCTTTCTGTACAAGTTAGAAGGCCGGACGAAGATATCACACCTCTTCGGGTACAAAACCCTAATAATCTGGTGTCACATTCCTGATATTCTTAAGTAATGATATTACCTACTAACAAGTCGTTAATTATTTGTAAACGTTTTGACTGTTGTTAATTATTTGTTACACTATTAAGTATTCATATGTTTTTGTCGAAATTTACGAGTTGTTTATTGGGTTTGACTGCACACGTTGCGTTGCCTTGGTTTCTATCGTATTGAGAAGAATTTTGTTGGAAAAAGGCCAACGTTTTGTTTTCGATCACACAAAAAACTGAAACAGAAAAAGATATACGCACAACTTCTTGTTTCAGATAAGATTTTGTTGCTCTAATAATATCTTGTTGGACAGTGTAGCATTAGCATTTTTACTAGCAGTAAAATCCAGTTCGATCTCGAACATTAAATTGTGCCAAAAATTTGTATGAACTTAATATTTTACAACATTCAACATAATCTGTCGATTATTGTTGTAATACTTGTATATTTACACACGAGTGGTTTTAGTTATTAATTTTCTTGGTGTGAACGACGCGCAGTTTGTGTTATTATGATATTGATTGTCAAATAGAATTATAACTAAATTGCAACCAAAAGTGTAATTACTATAATTAATACTGTTTAACAAGCATACCTACTTGTGTTTAAAGCAATCAAGTATGAGAATTTTGTAAATAATTACGCTAAACGCCCAAATACAATAATATTTAATAAATTATGTTAGACGTTCATTAAAAGCAATTTGCGATATTGTATTGTTATTGAGTTTCAATAACACAGTTAGGTTACAAAAATATTGGATGTTTGATGAAAGAGCAATTCTATTATCGTTTTTTTCTCAAGGATAATTGGAAAACCTCCTTTTCTTTGTTTTCGTCATTACAACAAGAAAATTCACTCTGCTTTGCGAACAATGGCGAAACGGGACTTCATTATTGAAACTTCTACTTCTGTTTCCACATTTGTACACTCTTTATACCTATGGGTTAGAATGTTATTATTTCACTTGCTTGATTCTGTTTCTGATGAGCGTCAAAATTGCTTTTGCGCCGGAAACATATAAAAGTATATATGCGTTTATTTAAATATCCGTAAAACAGAAACACAAAAGCAAATCAGTGTCGAAAGAACATTTCAAAAGAAGTAGTTAATACTTTTGTATTTTAGGCTCTTCCCTAAGTAGTGAATAACAATGATAAATTACTTTTTGTTGCGGATGCTTTATTAGAAACGTAAAATTGAAAATGGCTTTGTTTATTTTAAATGATTGATGATTCTCGGACCATGATGGATTTCTTTTAACGTTGCCTTAATGCAGAAGTAGACGACTGTTATATTAAGCTTACGAGACTTTTACCCTTTTATGAAAATAATTTTATTCGAAGCAACTTAAGCTCTGCGGCTAACAGAATCGGTTACGTAATCTATAATAAATGATTATTTAGGCGTAAAATGTTTTGTTTTTGCCATTCTAGTAGACGCTTTACTGATGAAGGAAAGTCGATTTATCGGAAGAAAAAATTTGTGTTTCGTTTCCACTAGCTACTAATGCTGGTGGGCGAGTAGTTCCTTCGGACTTCCCCGCAGGGTAGAGTGAAAGGCTTTCTTCACCTTCCTATTAGGAATCGTAAAAAGGAGTGGGTGGTCGTCGGGGAGAGAAACATCGGACTGACGAAATGAAGACAGAAGTAAGTGAAAAATTATCTGTGGAATGTTACTGCTCCAGAGCATTTTCCATACAGAAAGACTAGGACATTAGATGAACGCGGAATCGGATCGGTATCCTCCCAAAAAAGAAATGTGTAATTTCTATGTTTGGAATAAATATTTACTGTCAATTACTTGATATTGATCCACTTGCTTTAATGACCAACTTCGTTTTGATCAGTCGCTTGTGGTAATAAAATCTATGGGGAGCTCATAAGAACATCACATCCACATGGGGTGGTTTATATTAACTGCTCATTAAAACTTATTATTTTCACAATTCTCTGTTTCTTTAGTCAATCTTGGTTTCTATTATGTATGTTCTTAAATCAAAATTTAATTGAAGAAATGACCACACTGTTATTTTAATCGAAGGAAAATTTTTAATTACTTCTCCTAGACGGTATTTATATATTCTAATTGGTTTTTGGAAATTCGTCGAGTCATTTCCAATTTATTTCCGTCATTTTTATATAGAATCTCGCACCAGCTATAAAATTAGTCGGTTATTGCTCGGAAGAAAGGCGCACTATTAAATTTCTATAGCGTGCGATCAATCAATAACTGTATCGTCTATAAAATTGAGTGGTGTTGCGTTCACGAAATCCCATTTGGCACGTTGTCAAAAGTTGTAAGATTGTTGTAGGTTTATGGTCGCCTTTAAAATTTTATTATAGGCAGCGTGCATCGCTTAATAGTTTGATTCCTACGAGATTGAACTTAATTTTTTTATCCTGAAAGCGTGGGCATTCGGGTGGATAGTATTATGTTTTCGATACACTTTAAAACATGCAAAAGGTCTGCTAAGGTTTTATGGATCCGATCAAATTTTAATGTACAGTCAGTTTTAAAGGTAATGTCGGATACAAAGTAGATGACTTCCTCAAGGGCAAAAAATGACCTTGTTTATTGTATGAGAAAAACGTAGAAAAGCAGGAAATCCAACACTATATCAACTATTTGTAGAATGCAGAAGTGGCGTAGCCGATATGGATCTAGGACAAGGAATTAATTGCTGCTAAAGTTGTAGGAATTGGTTATTAATTTAAAACATATACAATTTAGGTGTTCTCATTAGTGTTTTCTAATAAATTGTTTTAATATTTATCTGACGTATTTTTTAAAGAACACATTAAACAACGTTTCTAACATATTTCAACGTTACATTACTTCGTAAAGACTATAGCAATGACTTAAACGCAATCTTTCAATAGCTTTTCAGTACCTTATGTCAGTAAAAAAGCATAGTACGCATATTTTTTTGGTACACATTACGTTTAACATGAACGTTTTCTGTCTGTATGTACTTACTTATAGTAGACATGTTACGTATTCTTCGATCTAATTCAGAAATTCAGAAACGGCGCCGTCAGTACTTTAAAATATCGCAGGTGTAGCAATGTTTATTATTTTATACATTTGATTTCGATTAAAGCGAGCAGAAGAGCAAATAGAACTTGTGCCAATGTAAAGAATTTGTTTAAAAAAATCTTTTAATATACCCGTACAATTTGCATTTGCCTTTAGCATTGAACTTTTAAATTGAAAGTATATGTTTACTGTCCATCGGAAATGATACATTTCAACAACGTACACGTACATGTCGCGCCCGTTTAATTTTCCAAATGTATTCACGTTTTAGAATCGATTCATATAAAATCGGAAAAATATTGTATAAAATTATAATAAAATCTTATTGTTGATTATGCAAAAGGTGTAAGATGCCAGTAAATGTGCCATAGCATTATATAACAGCTTTTCCTTATTTTTCATTTTATCTATTATTTAGTTTATTTACTAGCGGATTCACGAATTTGTACCGAACATTCAGAACATTAGTACGTGTTTAGTATTTTTATTGGTCATTCGATACTCTTACTACATTTTCCGAGTACTAATTGAAGTTTGTAATTTACTAGCAGTTTGATGGCTGCCTTGCGATTAATTTTAGTGTTAAAAAAGTACAAGTGAAGCAATAAACTTCAAAGCTTTCTCAAGTAAGCAACGGCTACAATGCAATTGCACTAATTCTTGTAACTTACAAAGTTATATACTATAATGCAACTAATTTAAGAAAGTGCCGAGAAAATTTAGTATTTATAAATATTAGAAGTTTATTGTACCTATTCTTATTCATTAAAGCGCAGGACTGAGCTATTATTAACTTTAACGGTCGATTTATCGATGTAAGAAAATAATCGACTATTACATTCACGAAAATCTCCAAACGGACTATTTCGAAGAGAATAAAAAGACGAAACGCGCACTGTTAAGCGAATAATTTGCCCAGCTCTATTAAGTATTAACGCACCTGTCGTAGTTCGAATTATATGAAAAACTGAGATTGAAATAAATCTAAAAATACTCTACGTACCGACGACACTTCTAAATTCCTCATTTGTGGGTTCAACAGTCTACAACAGTTAAGTTAGTCGGTTGCACACCTTTATTTAGATCCTAAAATTAACCACCCGACTAGATGTACGTACGTTAGTGTAAATTAGTTCTAATAACCAGCAATACCAGCGATTGAGTTCGATAACTTTATTTATTAAAGTGTTGGTGTCTTTAGAAGATCTAAACTGCTTTTATGTTGTGAAAACAAAGCGAATTTTATTTGGTTCAATAAGAAAATTTTTGATAAATATTAAAAACAATACAATGAAGTTCCAAAGTTCAGTTTTATACTCAGTAACAGGTAATCAACCCTATAATTTATTTTTAAGTACATTCTATAGAAAATTTTTGTATTTCCTTTCGCAGAATTGACAAAGGATCTTAATTATACTTTTGTTAATTTGAAATTGAAATCAATGACAATTCCAATTGCAATAAAACGAATAAAAAAGTTATGACATTTTAATGATACGTTTTGCTTTTTATTGTAAATACAAATGTGATCGGCTGCCGCGTATTAATGTCCCAAAGTATTTGCGAACATGTGAGATAATTATTCTCTTAACTTCTCTCATCAACGTCCTAATGAAATCGATTCCAATTCTTGCCGCTTATACAACCCAAGTATTTAGGAAAATTCCACATGGCAGGCATTAACAGAACAGGAACGTATTACATTCCAAAAATTTAGTATCCTAATTTTCTTAATAAAAATTTATTACTTTTATTATATACTTACTTCATTATTTATACGAAAATACGGCTGAAAGTACGCCAGTAAGGGTAGTTTATATCAGGGGTATGATGCGATATTAGATACCTCCAATATTAACAACCTGACCTTACCTGGCAAGACGAAACAATTGCAGACACAATATTAAACTCTTTTTGAAACATTAGAAAGCATTTTTCTTGGTTTACTCTTACAAAAATGTTTCGCAAGAAGTTGACCAGAGAAGTAGTGAAATGAATTAATAATAATGTTCTACTGCCTTTATTCAGATTTTGTGATAACGTTTATTCACCAATTGGGGTCTTGGTTTTAAATTTAAAACTCTTTTTTTCGGGGAAAACATTAAAAACTTTTAACATTACTGATAAAATTAGAACTTTTGATTTGTAGTAAATTTGTAATAAATGTCGCATAAGTACAATCGTATACAACGGATGCAGCACGACTAAAATTGATAGAATGTATTATGTAAATGTATGTTTATGGAAACTTGCGTTCACTTCGGCGCCAGGGAGAAAAATTTTCTGAGAAGGCATCTATCTTATTCTCTGACAGTTTATCTCAACAAATCAAAAATATAAATGTCTACATCTTGAACGGCTTCAAGCTTGAAACCTTAAAGGCTGCTTTCAACATTTCTTGTCATTTTAAAAAAATGATNTAGAATGAGATAAGTTTCTGCATATCAATATTTATATATAACAATAATAATAATTTTACAAATCAAAATAATTACAAAATGTAACTATAAATAATAATGAAACGTCATTTTACATCCTGCATCCAATTTAGGGTTAATGACTAACTAAATAAAAGCGACAATTTTTTACATTTGCTTTGTACCAGGAAATCTTTGGATAGGTATTTCTTTACAAAAGGGGACAGTTCCTTCATGGAGACGTTCTTTAAGGGTTCAGAACAAAAACGTTATGTACTTACTTATAATAATAAGTAAATTGTTTACGTGTAAATACTTTATGCGACGTTGGAGACCGTATCCGATATTACAAGAGAAGTGTGCTTTCAGGGGAACTGTTGCTTTTGTTATCTTGCAATAAATGTTTATATATATAAATTTTTAAATATGTATAAATATACGGTTGTAAAGTGTTCATTAAATATTTATTTCAATCAATTTTACTTTTGTACCTAAATAAATAAGGAGATAAGTACATAACAGAAGAAGATAATTTTTAAGAAACTGTTTGTTACCTATCTGTAAACCATTAGAGTAGGGTTGAAATAATCAATTTTTACTAATCGTAAAATTAAATCCGAGGATTTCAGAATTTTTAAAAATAATAATGACACCCTTTCGATGAGTTGCAATTCTTGCTTCTAGGCTTACCGTTAAATAGAAGTGATAATAATAGTGATTTTATTAAAATTAACTCTTGTATGGCCTGACTGTTTGTTATTCTATTTGAAAGGATCAATAAACGAGTTTGTATGGCAGGCTTTGACTTTCCTTTAGTCGTTCCCAATTATTTAATTTTCAAAAATGTAGCAAGTAATGACGTTTATGAATAAGCGAAGCTTTTCCATGAACAATGAAGTAAATTGGATTCATGCACGTGCCTGAACTTTTAAAGCAAATAACAAAAGTTTTCTATTGTTTGCGACATAAAAATAAATTTCGTTAGGTAGTGGAGTAGCAGAAAAAAGAAGGATATTGTGAATATATATATATATACACTGTGAGAAGGAGTAAAGAAAAACTGCAATAAATATGAGTAAGAAAAGGAAACAGTTGGTTTGCTTCACAGTTGTATTTTAGTTGAAATAATTCAAATTTTTCTAATCGAAAAAAGATAGATCTCTCTCTGGAATCCCAGAAATGGGATGACCAAA